AGTGTGTGTAGTGTTTAGGTGTGTTGTGTTTGATAGATGGGTGGATGGATATTTAGCTGCGACAGATAGATAAATAGCCGCAGCGGATAAGATATATGGCTGCGACAGAGTCGATTGACAAGATGTCAAGCGAAAATCTCATTAATAATTCAGTAGTAATGCGATGAATGATGCTTGTCGTATCGAACAAAATGAATGAAAGGATGTTTTTTTGGAGAAAAGAAAACAGGGAATGAAGCTGCGGCGAAGACAAATGACAAATTTCGCAGCTATATATTTAGTGTACTCTCTATTAGGGTAGTTGTCTGCTGCCGCGTAAGTTGTTTGGCCATATATGCTGCTGCTGCAGCTATATATCAGCTTTAGTTTTTCGTTGAGTAGTTAGAGTGAGTGAGAGTGCTGGGAGCGGTGACGTTTTCGTTTGTGAGCTCTTGATGAGAAGACGCTTCTTACTATTAGTGAATGATGGCTTTCCAATTTTTTCGAATTTCAGGTCATTTTTTTTGAATTTCAGGTGGTCAGTGCTGCTGNGGGCGAAGCGGTTGTCGAGCGGTGGCGCGGAACAGCCGCATCAGCGTCAGAGTTCATCGTCTGCGGGCGCTTTCGCTGCAGGACCAGTGGCTCATCTGAGGATGTGAGCGGTGGTTGACCTTTGACATTCGACATTTGACCTTTGACCTCTGTGATCGTCTATTTGTGAGAAGCTGATGGAGACTTATTTATTGTTGGTTTAGGCATAGAAGCTCAACGAACTACATGGACAAGCATCCGATCGTGAGGAATCCAGTGCATAGCGATGCGGTGGGTGCGTTGGCACCTGTGCGGCCGGGTATGGTGATTAGCGGGAGTAGGGATAAGGTAAGGTGAGCCTGATTTTGGGTTTGATTTTTTGAAAAAAAATTGAATTTCAGTAGCAAATAATTTGATGCGATGTCTGCGCCGAAATACTTAAACGGGTACTTTCAGGTGATCGCATTGAATAATATCGATACGGGCGAATGCGTGCTCAGGTGGTACGGGCATGAGAAGGAAGTTACTAAGGTTTGTCTGTCTCTTCATGAAACTGCTGCCTTATCACCTTATCAGTATGGCCTTATCACCTTATCAGCAGCAGTGCTTTATCACATTATCACTGATTTATCACTAGTGTGTGTGTGTTTCAGTTGGTCTATCGAAACGCGGGTGGAAAACACTATATTTTGAGTGGTTCGCGTGATACAACGCTTAAATTGTGGCAATTCAACTCACCACAAACACTGCACACCTTCACTGGACACGAGATGAGTATTACGGGTCTGGCGATGCTCGATGGTGAGTTGGTTAACTGATAACGAATGATAAGCGATATGATAAGATCAATTGGTGATAAGTGATCAGTTCATGATCAGTCAGTGATCAGTTTATGATCAATCAGTGATCAGTTCAGAGAGACGGTGTATATCGGGTGCGCGAG